ATATTGTTCAATTGAAAAATATAACAACGTCAAACGATAAACAACACAAAGCCGAATCACATAATAACCATAGAAATACAGTGACGCATTCACCCCTACATAAAACATAAAAACAAAAACTTTTACATGATGAATGCATTATATTATTAACGGAACGAATACGAAAATAAAAAACATACCTTTTTAATCATCACGATCATTTCCTAAATTTCGGAATACTTATTTGAATACAACATTCATTGTTTGCCCTTATGGATTGCCATCTCTATTTACTATCAGTATTTTCAAGCCTTTCTTCGATGTTACCCGAGATATTGCAACATATAGCTGTCCATGAGAAAACACAGGACGAGGTAAATACAAACCTACTTCTGATAACGACTGTCCCTGAATTTTGTTGATGGTTATAGCGAATGCAACTGCCAACGGTAACTGTCTACATCTTAATTTAAAAGGCAATCTTGCATCAGATGGAGTGATCAGCAATCGTGGAATAATAACTTTGTCTCGAGCTTTATCTGCGGTAATAATTCTTGCTTCTATCATGAAATCCGCCATTTGTGTAATCTGAAGTCTCGTTTCATTCATCAATCCCGCTTTAGGGTCAATATTCCTAAGCAGCATCACAGGACACCCTATTTTCAATGTAATACAATGATTGGGGAGTCCAGCAACTTTTATACTGTTTAAAAATTCATGAGTAAAAGCGGGATTTTGCAATGCTCCGGAGTCAGCAGGATCTATAGTATCAGAACTCAGATATACTTTTGACTCAGCTGTGTTAATTAGTTCAAAATATTGATATAAGTAAGAATAAAAGTCCAAAAACAAACCAATAAACACAATCATATAAGATGAACATATTGTACTTACCAGTCATCTTCGAAAATATATGTTCATTTATATTGTTCACATCTTCATTGGTTGGACAAAGTATTGCTCTTTCTTGCCAAAATTTGGCCTCTTTTTCCTCCTGAAACGATGTTTTTTATCCGTAAATCATGTACGTCCGTTATAAGGAACTCCTCAGGAATATCAATCATTGCTTCACCGTCTTTTGGCTCAGCAATTTTACCTTCGCCAACATCTAAAATCCATTCAGAAAATTCCTTTAATTCATTTGCTTGCTCAACACTCAAGTCACTTGCCAGTAACCTCATATTTTTTGTTAGCTTCATAACTTTGCAATAATCCCAAATATAGGATGCATTCAATGCAGCATTAGCAACATTTCCCCTTGAAGCACCATGCATGACCGGTAGAATCTGCCTGAAATCTCCACCAAATACAACAACTTTCCCACCGAAAACACCTCCTTCGTCATTTTGCATGATGTCAGATAAATTTTTATCTTATGATTCAAAGCAGTATTTACTCATCATAGGTGCTTCATCCCCTATAATAAGAGATGCTTCTTCTATCAAATTCGCAACTTCTGAACCACGTTTCATCGAACATGTAGTATATTTATCTGGGTTAATAGGTATACCAAACCGCAAATGAGCTGTCCGACCTCCTTGTAACAACAAAGATGCGATTCCACTTGATGCAACGTTTAGCACAATATCACCCTTACATCTTATTGCAGCAGACAAAAGAGACCAAAGAAAAGTTTTGCCAGTACCTCCAAATCCATATACAAAAAAAACACCTCTTTTTTTGTTCTCAACTGCTTCAATAATCTCATTATAAATCTTCTTTTGCTCAGTTGTAAGCTTCACAATGTCTCTATCATGCATTTCTTTTAATTTCTGTCTATCATAATTTTTTCATCAATTATTAAGACATTATCGTTGTTAAGCCCATCTTTTGGAGGCTTAGGCATTGATGTATATTGTGAAATTTCAAGATCTTCTCAATCTCCAAAAGGGCAAACTTTTTCTTATCAGCATCATCCAATATAAGACCTGCAAAACGTGTAAATTATATGTATAATGAGTTTACTAATCAGTAACAAATTAAACAATGCATTAGGGTTTAACACAATACCGTTAACGATGCAATAAAATAAATAAGAAAACGATAAGGAATTTATCAAACCTAGCCGATTACAATGCTGTCGCCGCATGTATTCAATATCTTCTAACAAAACTTCCCAGGTTTGTTCCCAAACATATTCAGGTCGAGACAAACTACCTGATACAAGCATTATAACAAATAGTTGTCTTAAAAATGACTCTGTAGCAGTAAACTCATTCTAATATATCAGTAATATACTCCTGGTCATCTTCTAACAACCCTCTAGCATAACATGCTTCCTTGAAAGAAGGGTATACCACATCATTGTAGGATTTGATGTCATCAAAAGATTCTGGACCCCTGACAACATTAAGAAGAATCCTCAAATAATAAGCTTCTTCTAGTTTACGTGGAACATAAGTAATTCTTCCAATAGCAAAACTTTTTTTCCTTGGTTTAAACATCCGAAGTGATTTATCCCACGTATAGTAAACAAGGATTTCTCCATACGTGAGTGTTTTACATTTACCACCTTTTTTGTTCAACTCAAACCAAGCCGTCATCTTTGTGTTCTTTACAACTTCCTTATGGATAATCGTTTCTACCATCTCATCGCCCTTGAAATATACCAACTGTTTGCCTGGTAAGTGAAAGGAAAGGTGTTCAACGGGGTTGTACGATTGTGGATTGGATTTTTTAAGATTCACCATGCAGATTCACACGCAGATACATATCTGTATAATAAAATAGTATGTTAGAAGTAAACAACTAACAATTTTCAATTAAATATATAGTTTTTATTCTGACAGTAGTTCAAATATAAATGTTTACAACGAACCTGCAGTCGAAGAAGTCTTTAATCTCATTTTTCTTCTTTGCTTGACATTCATGTGTGAAATCATAATGACTGTTATCTCCTCCATCAGCTTTCACATTCTATGCTTGCGAAGGCTCAATCACAAACGTAACACGGACAAGCCCTTTATTTATATACTTAAATAAGTATTTAATGAAAGAAGCTTGGTTGCACCACTCAACATTGATATGAGCTCGATAACGAAGAGACAACTTCTTGTTATAGAGTATCACAAATTTATTATCACATTTGTATCCATTTTTGTCAATGTAATCGTTGAGCTGTGATCTCCTCCTATACAAAGGAAAACTTTCTTTATTAATAGATGTCGTCTCAACATGCTGTTTAGGATACATTTTTGTACAACTCCCTTGCGACATGCATGGTGATCTTGGATTAATATCACCGCATGGACCATGAAACATCATTTCTGAAACAATTCCATAAAGCTCCGACTCTTCATATCGGTCGGGTATCTCAGATATAACATTGGCGATTTTTTCAGGAGGAATTTTTGAAGTCGGATCTAAAAACAATAGAATATGTGCATGCGGTAGACCCCTCTTCTGAAACTCTATGGTGTACATGGCTGAAATTACGAAAATATATATCAATGAATAAACTGTATAATATTGATATTACAAATTTCAAAATTAAAGAATGTCAAAGTTACTAACCAAAAACAACTTTTCCTAAACCGAGTCTGTTATCAGCAAAATCCATCATCATAGAATCTAGCTTCATTTTGAACACCCGACAAATTATATCTGGTCTATCATCAAAACTGAATTTCCGCTCGTTCACATACCTTGTGATTTCTGGCCACTTTGGATTACATGTAAAGGTGATGAAAAGATCAGGGTATCCAAAATGTTTACATACAGACATTGCATCCAAGTAGCATTGAGTCATATATCAAGGTCCACCAGTGAATGAAGGAGGCAAATACGTTTTTCTACCTTGATCACGCAAATTCTTTTTACCTTTATTTGATGCATCTTCTATTGAATCAAAATTTTCAGATCTGAGTGATGTCTGGTTTTTGTCAAGATAGCGAACACGATTTGCCTCTATCATAGTAAAAATATCAACCAGAAACTGCTGGAATAACCTCTTAGCCCGCAGCAAAGTGTGGCATTCATTCTTTCGCTCCTGTATACGAAATGCAAAAAACTGTCTCATACTAATATATTCTTGTTTCCGTTTCTTCTTTCCAGTCTTTGCAAAACATTTTTCAATGCGAATATGGAAACCGTCTTCACCATACAAAAATATCAAAGGATACTGTAGAGAAACCGTCTTCACTAATCTTTATCAGCTTGCCGCATTGTTTCTGCAATATTATATCACGCTTACACATATCCTCATTCAGATCAACAGGGATCAACGCAGCCACTTCAGACGCAGTAGGCAAATTAAATATCCTTGAGTCTTTCTGGCGATCATTTATAAGTCTCATATGAAGCTCCTCGTTGGGATCTATTTTCAATCTGTCTCTAGCAGCTCAAAAATTCTTCACGTAAGGGTTCACCTTATCTAACATCTTAATCAGCCTATCAATTAATTCGTTCCTGAATTGTTTACGTTTAGACACCTTCATATGATTTTTACTTTTACTGCAAGAAAAATATATCTCTTATTAAAATAAAGTAATAATAAATATGAATTCAATCATTACTTTTACCTCATAATGGTCAAACGATTTTGTACTTTCTTCATCGGTGTCAACAATAAATAACTGATAAAACTTCACAACATCACCAGGTTTAGGGAGCATACTTCCCATCAGATGATAATTCTCTCCGTTAAGTTGGAACATTGATGGTCCACGCCCCTTTTTGATAGACCTATCTACTTTACCTCCAATAGAAGTCATTGAAAATAGCATATTGTAGGCTCTAACATTCTCGTGAAAATGTTTGCTTAGATCATTGGCAGATGTAAAAAGATGCATTAATTCCTCTGGAGAATCTCGAAGGTATGGTAGCTTTACTTGACATTGCGAACAACACAAAGAAAATATAGGATTGTTTGCTCTTCTTCTTTTGTTTAAACGTTCACCATACCAGAAAATTTCACCAGAATAATTACACTCATATGAAGGATAGCCATCATCTTTATATTCTGAATATAAAAGTAGTCCGACGTTATAATAAATTCATATGTGAATTACATAACATAAGATTTAGCGTTGGAAATAAATACCTTTATATTCGCAGAAAAGATTATTATTACTAGAGACTCCTACAGAAAATGATTTCTGCAACATAGTAGCTAAACTCTTGACATCATAAACATAGTCTTCAGGTTCCTCATTGTCAGATGAAATTTCTTCGCCAGCTTCATCCATAATATAGTTTTCCTCATCGGACGAACCATCAAGACTGCTACAGTCAAACCGTTGTTCATAATCATACTCATCTATAAAATATATAATTGTTATTAGTTAAAAAGGTATAAGTGTATATAATTGCACATTAAGTCAATACAGCATGAAGGTAAATATTACCTTCTGAATCCCAGTATTTGTTTGGAAAGACGACATCATTATACATATCTTTGGTATCATCAACACCAAGACTACTATAATCAACATGTCCTGACAGACGAATGTAAAACAATACGAAATGCAAGTGAACGATATTTTCTGGGCACAAAATTAGTTGCAATTACCTTCACGATGTTGATGGTCGAAAATATTCTCGTTGTAGTTCTGACCAATCTCATGTTTACATCTATAATCTTCATACGGAGATATAGAATCTGCATTCCGTATACAAGATGAATCTGCATTTTCTGAGAAAACAAACTTGGTTGCCTTGTTACTTGACCCACAATTATTTAACTTCGTCGATGTCAACTGGGATAGCTCGGCTATATAAATAAAAAAGAAGATTACGAAAACCAATACTTATCAAGGTACTTTATATATAAAGGACCATAATACGCCAAACATATATAACTCACATGAAGATAGTGATTCTGGTTGTTTCCGCTTTCTCTTTTCTAATGTGAAAGAATTCTCTTTCCCAGTATAATTTGTTTGAGTATGTAGAGCTGAATTATTGAAAGAATAATGTTGCATACTAAAGTTTAATGATTTATAACCATTGTGTTAACAATAATAATATACGATTTAAAGAAAATAGTTTCTAAACATCAATTTAAGAAGACTTACAGTTTTCCAGTCCATCACATAAGGTAGGAGAAAATTGATTATGCATTCTAGTTAGGGATTCATTATTAGTTCTGTCTACCAAAATTTGTGGAAATAGAGAATGAACTTTGATCTTGTTTTCAAAATGATTATCCACTATATCTGATTTCTGAGTAAACGAATTGGTAGATGATGACCCTGAATTATTAACTTGGCTGCTCCAACCAGACAACAAAGCCTTCTGTTTATTCTTCCGATCAACATGTTTAATCCTAGGCATAATTTAACCTCTCATAAAAGCTCCTCGTTAAGATCAAAATATAGCAAAAAACGATGGGATTAGGGAGGGAAGATAGACTAAGAATAAAACGAAAGAGTTTAGGTTAAATTTACGGCCGCAAATCCTACAAGTAACAATATCTATTAATCAATTATGATATGTAAAGATCTTTTTTTCAAAATATAAATTGATAAATGAACATAACCAATCTAAATATATTTATATGAAATTATCATTCACATATATGAATAATAAACCATAAATGAATAATATACCATAAATCGAATTATGTACATAACAATTATGGTTATTTGCCATAGATATGAAACATCTTAAAAACATTGCCATTACAATTTCACGCTGTATATTTGCAAAATATTATAATTTATTAATTGCATACTGTAAATCGTTAAGACAGTATATAATTAGGTAATTCACATATTCACTCAATATGATTATATATTATATATGCAATCGAATTTTCCACTATATAAAATATCATTTTTTGTTACAATCTATTCCACGAACATCTACATAAAAAAGAAATTGAGATTTAAATTATTAATTTACTTAGGTATAAATTAGAAAATGTAAATAAACTACTTCTTTCTGATGTGATCCTTGACAGATGTACAAAAAATATTTAATAGAGAAATAAATTTTTTCTTGGATGTAAATATATTTTTTTGTACGTGTGTCTGAGGACCACATAAGAGGAATAGTTGTAGAGAGAATTTATTTGAGTGAAGAAAATTCCCTTATACTTTTATTTATAGTCGTAAAAGTAAGGTGACTACTCACGTTTCATCTGTGTGTTTCATATTCCCCAAAGTCTGCTCTAATTAAAACATATTAAGATACAGTTGACTCAATATTCATAAATTCCCATAGAATAACATTTACAAATAAATGAATATATCTTCTATAAATATTGGAAAATATCTTGAAAAATAAAAAAAAATAATGTATGTACTCTGAAGTAAGTGTATGATTTATCTACAGTTTCTTAATCATACATATAATATAATAATTACTCAAATATGTCACTGCAAAACGTTAGGCAATATTAATTTCGGCCCAATAAAATTAACACGATACACACGTAATTTGTAAAATAACGTAAATGTAGTAATGGTTAAATTAAAAGAATAAATTATTAAAGTTCAAGAACAATGCATGAGTATCATCCGAACAAATCTCAACAAAAAGTTGAACAACAATAGCGAAATAACATGAGAAGTTATGAATTCAAATAACCATATTTTTTTCGTATATCACGACCATAACTTTTCCAGATCCATGTGCACGAGCGAGTCCCTTGTCAAATTTCCATCTCATAAGAAGGCTCTTGCCTCAGCGTGTTTATCAGCGACACCTACAAGGTTTACATATAAATATAAACATAAAAGGCCAAATAACGTGTATTAATATATACAATTTATTATATGCAAGCAAACTAATAAATTTATTATATGCAAGCAAACTAATAAATTTCAAAATTATACCTTATTACCTGGCAATAGCAAACTCTGATCACCCATATCTTCAGATTCATTCACCTCATCAACGGATAAAACATCATTTCCTTTCCAAACCTTCCCGACTTTGTATGTATTACTACCACCATATAGATTTTCTTTCTCAACACAAATCAGAAACTGAAAAGTCTTCCCAATCAAGTTTTGCAGTGCATCAGGAAGGACATCCGATTCTTGTATCTAAGTATATAACGTACATGAAATTTTAAACAAACAAAGTCTTTATTCATATAGGGTTATAATTGTATCATAGATTAAGATTTACAAATTAATACCTCATCGAAGTTCCCCTTGAGAATTTCATCAACTTTCTGATTTAAAATATCCTGCGCATTTCTATCATAAAGAAAACACTTGATCTTGCTGGTATCGTCCATAACGCAAAGATGAAGTTTGTACCTAGCAATATATAAAGATTGTATTAAAATACTCGAATGCACGGTTAGATAAATAATTAAGACAAATACTAAAAAAATAGTAAAAAATTTTACCTCGCACTCACAAATAACACTTTTGCATCACATGTTTCACATGAATAAAGGGTTTTATTCTTCTTGGTCATTTTTTGATCTTCCTTCTTTGGAATTTTGTACACTTTTTTACCATACCTAGTGCAAACCAAATAAAACCACGACCAGTCTGTGTCAACCGCGTAGATGGTGAACATGATCTTACATTTCCCAACCTGAAGTCACAAAAATACAAATGTCAAAATTATATAATCTATGACGTTTTCCGTAGCAAAGTTTTAAAATGACATATACCTCAAGAGAATCTTGTAATTCTGAAATAGTGACCATTGGAAACTGATCGAAATGAATCTCACCACCATAAGAAACCCATTGTTGAGGTTTGCTACTCAAGAAGGTAATACGTCCGCAATTCTCAGGTAAACTTATAATAGGTAATAGTATTAGTTGTATTAGTAATCGTAATGATAAGAGATATATATATATAATATACATAGACAAATTACCTATTCTTGAAGACAATGGCATCGGGATCATTCAAATGGATCAGAACCTTCGTTGTTTGACAACTACTTGTTATTCGACGATCACCTACAATATTTAACAAACAAAACAAAACAAAAACATTGGTGTTGTATGAAAAAAACAAATTTATGAATAAACAAAATTAATATGTACCTTTGAAAACGTTAATTTTCCCAAAACAGATCACAAGAATGACACTTCTTTCACCCGAACTCCGACAAGCCGACCAGACTTCTTCACCAAACTTTCCCCAAAGTGTGCATGGTAAACGTTCATCACTGTAAGACATATTACATAAAACAGATGAAAGAAACAATAAAAAAAATAAAGTGTCTGCATTTATATATATATATATATATATATATATATATATATATATATTCACTTAGCATTTCGTAGAGCGAACTCGAGTTTGGTGGTGTCCTTATTCATAACAGATATTGTTTGCAACTCATAAACACTTTCAACTTGTCCAATAACACCTATTTAGGAAAATAACGGCAGGTAATTATTGAAAGTAATATGAATGAACAAATTAAATAAAATATTACGGATAAACTTACCAACCGAAAAACTCGTATTGGTACATCGTCCAATATTGTAACAAACTCTGAGAAATCAAAAAACAAACTGTCTGACCGATTAGAACTTTTGCTGACAACTGTAGAGGATATGAATGACATCTTAAATTGATGTCTGGTGGTCCGGTAGTGTCCTGAAGCCTGATTCAATGAAAAGTTCTCTATGAACTTCCATTCACCGACAACCATCATCCGTTCAAAGCGATGCAGCAAGTTTTTCTTGACAGTTGCGTGGATTTGGGTACCCTGGGTGATCAAGAAGTTAAAACATTGAACAGAACAATCAAAATATTAAAAAAAAGTAATGTCGATTAATAATAAATTTGTACCATTTCATCGGCAAGGATGATTTCCAAAGACTCGCCACTCTTGGTTTGGTATTGTTTCCATGTATGAAGCACCTTCACTTGAACCTTTCACCCAGTCCTATAAGGCTTAACGTCAGCTAAAGGGGTTCGCTTCGTTGTGGAAGCCATAAGAACAATGAAAAACCAAAAAAAAAAACAGAGAGGAAAATGAAACTTCATGAAGAGTGTTTTGGAAGAAGGGGTTGTATATTTATAATAAAAAAATATAGGGTTTATTGATAAGCCGTTAAATGTTCATAAATTGGCAGCCAAGAATATTCGTGAAATTTAAATTTTTAAAATAGATATGCCAAATATCAAATAGTGTTGTTTTTGTAAAGTAGTTGTAATTGTCTATATACACGGAGATGCGATATAAACGGGATAAATCCGAAATATCCTATGGTAGAAGTTCAAAGATGAGCACATATGTATATTATTTCGAAATTAAAGGAATACGATAAGGAACATACATTTATGAGAATATATTGTGTTCAATAAATATGGGAACTAAACCCAAATGAGATATGTGATAGTGGTTAGAATTGTCTACACTATTATAGTGCGTATTGTTGTAATTGGTAACAATAATTATTGATATAATTAATAATAGATATCATAACAGAATTTGAAGTATATCTAATTCGCATACGTAATATTGCAAGTCTATTCAAATGAGTTCAAAAGTTATTGCGAATTTTAGTTTATCCGTAATAATATAATATTTTGTTTAAATTACGTTTTTATTGAAGAATTGAAATAAATAATGAATTTCCTAAAATAAGAAACGGGTCAAATTAAAGGATCTGCGTCCTTTTAAACGGGTCAAAATAAAGGACGCGGATCCTCTTTGATTTCAGTTTTTTTTTTGTTCGTGGAATACATTTTTTACAATGGTATTTCATGTAATATAACACGTAATACCGAGGTCAATTTCCTAAATGTACTTCTCCTTTAATATTATAAGATAAACAGAAACACATTATTATTTGGGTAATTAAGTTAATAACCAATTTTCACGGTAAACTATCATAGGGTAGAGAGAGCTTCTATATAAATAGACATTCTATACAAAATATATGTTGTTATGCAACATAGAAGATGATTCAAAACGGCTCAATTAGATTACACAACTACAACAAAAAAAATATTCTAGACACATGATGTGTCTACTGCATGAGGGAACAAGTTTTACCCTTAATAAAAACAAATGAAAGCCGCAAGTGCACAGCTAATCAATTGTAGTACTTAGGGATCAAATCCACAGAGATTTGTGTGTCTGGTATTCTTCTACGGTTTCTAACTTTATGTCTAGACTAGATCGGTTTTAGAGATTGGTTGGTTGTCACGGATTGAAATCAAACTAAAGAAAGCTAATAAATCTATCCTAAAGAGCAAGTAGAAAATCAAATAAAAGGCAAATGAAGCGAGCAGAATATTGAACTAAAGCAAATAAAACGCAGATCTAAATGAGCAAGTAAAAATCGATTGGTTTGTAAACTATGGCTAAAAACGCTGAGCTATTGGAAACTCTACAGGGATCATAATCGGTTTCAACACTAGAGATTATAGATTGGGATTGACGGATATCGAAATATAGGGTTCTAGAGCTAGAGTACGGCGGTATGACTACGTCACTGTCGTGATCATAACCAACTGTTTCTCGCAATCCTGACCAGTAGGTTTCCACTCTGGCCCAGGAAGGGAGAGAACGCAAGAGCTGCACAGGACTCGTCAGTACTCACGATTTCGCCCCAGGTAGGTTTCCACTCCTACGGAAAAATCGCCTGTTTCATTTTAGGTCGGATACTTAATGAAAACTTTTGCAACACTAACTATCTAGATCAGATACGAGGTGATCAATCAAGCATACATGCAATAAGAACAAGAATAAACAGAGAACAATGTTAAAATCTTAGATCTATAAATCTAGATGTCTTAATCGATTATGAGAGCCTTTTTTGGGAACCCTAAGCCCAACTCGGGATCTACTCAGACATGGCTGAGGTCGACATCATCATTAGTTTTAATAAAAGCAATCGGGAGTAACGTGGCAGCGGGAAATAGAGGCTCGGCCGCGGTCGTGCAGCTCGTGACCGCGGTGGATGGGTCGGTGGCCGCGGTCGGGAGGCTTGCTGGCCATCTTCGAGTGTCTCTGGGGCAAATGGGATATCTTGAGATCCAACCGTTGGAATGTATCCAAACTCAGTGCATTTGAAAGCTGGTTGATTCTTCTATAAGTTCTCCAATTTTGAGGGTGATCAGACGGTGAGAAGATTTTCGTATCTCCATGAGAGTTCTGACGGTCTGCATTTATCCAAAAGAGTCTTTTTGTTCTAATTTGTGCCTCTTTATCCCAAATTACATGAAAAGGCTTTTAAAATCTAAAAACATAGAAATCCTTTGAAAACCCTTGAAAATAGAGTAAAAACACCTGTAAAAGACATTAAAGTGATCCATAAAAATGGTCAAAATCTGGTGTTATCAACGTCTCCAGACTTAATCTTTTGTTTGTCCTCAAACAAAACAAAGGCCAAATCTCGGTGAGAGGTTTGAAAACGCAGGAACTAACAAAATCTCAGAGACCAAACTTCTAGACCAACTTCAATCATTATGCATCAATCGGGAATAGTCTAGAAAATTCTCACTAGAAATACGGGCATAACTAGTCCGTTAATCCGTCATGCGGAAATCTATTGCACTAAGATCTAACTTCCAGTCAACTAGCTCTTAACATTCATTAAAAATTCTGGTGGTTCTCATCAAAGAAAGTATAAGCAAGGCAATCTAGGCTAGGTATCAAAGAAAGTACTCTAGCTACCACCTAGTCTAGTGCTAACCACAAATGAGCTATCATGCGTAGTGTAGAAGCGTGCAAGTCTAAATCATCACAGTTTTATGTCAAACATTCCTGAAAAATACTTAAGGTTGAATAGGTTACATATTAAAATTTAGAAAGTACTTGAAAATTTTAAAACAAAGCAAGAAAATGATTAGTACGGATAGACATCCTCCCCAAGACTTAAGTTACACTGTCCCCAGTGTGAACAAGTTGGTGAGAAGATGGTGAATAAAAGCGAAAATGAAATAAGATAAAAGAAAAGAAAATGATGATAGAACCGTGATGGCTGTCAAATGACAATGAAGTGCTGATCAATCACTCTTCCTCCGATGTGTCTGCTTCCAAATGGTGTTGCTCCTGTAGGAATGTGACGACGCGCTCAAAGCGTCGTCCTTGTCTCTCAACTGTGCGCTCCATATCAGAATGTGTGTGTGATGATGTCGATGATGAAGTATGACCCGTGGAAACAGATGGGTGAAAGTGAGCATGTGCTGCAGCTGCGTCGCGCTTCACCTTGGCTACTATGTATTGCCCGATAGTGAATAGTAGACGAGGTACAGAGGGTAAAAACTCATCAGGTCCCGGATTCCATCGTCGACGTCCTCCGTTACACAATCTTGGGACTGAAGCTGAAGGTAAACAGACTCGGTGCTCTTCAGTGCTCTTCGGTGCCAGTGCAATACTTGTAACTGAACCTGTCTGGATCGAAAATGGTACGAGAGATAGTGTGATCGCGAGAGAGATAAAGTAGGTCATACCAGACGTCGGGAAGTGGATCATCAGATTAGAAATTGAATCCCACAGCCTGTAGTATTGCTATAATAGCGCTTTCATAAGCAGTAGTAGCATCCTCACTACCATGTAAATAATGCTTCACCTTCACCATGTTCTGTGCTATGATCCAGGCAAAGCAGGCAAGTCGGGGGTCGTCCATAAATGGTATCTGAAGTGTAATGAGCTTGGTATTCAGAACACATCCCATGTTGGCTCTAGAGAAAATCGTGTGAGCTAAGAGTTTGTGCACAACTCTCACAGCAGGATGAGTAAGAAGGGCTGACTAGGATCTCCCGCTATCATAGATGCCATGACCCATCTCTCTCCATAAGTCAAAATCAGGTTCTTCTTCGAGGTGAATATCATCAGTGTATGGAAGCTTAAGAGCTTCACAAATTGCAGAAATGGTGAGTGAGTAGGTCTGTCCGCGGATAGATAACGACAGAATGCCGTCAGATGCTTTGGGGCTCCTCCTATTCATGTGGTGGAGGGTGACGATTGCTAAGAACTCGCGGACTAGCTCGGCATAAGTTGGAAGTTTCAGCTCCATGTAGGGTCTCAGCCTAAGTGCATCGATGTGCGAGATTACATCTTCTCTAATCCCAAGCATCTCGAGTGTATGATAATCAATGCAGGGTGTTGGTTTGATGTTCAGCTTCTTGAAACGCCTTGCATAGTCCACTCTCGGGTTGATCTCTTTCCCAATATATCGAATCTGTGGTGGCTCGGGAATCGCATGTGTTTCTCTTGAGTGTTGGAGCAGCCTCATCACTCGAGTTCTTCTTGGCTTGGCTCAGCATGTAATCTACAAGAGTACTATCATTGGGTATTTCCTCAGAGCTTCTTTGGGACTTGGTTTGTTCCATTTTCTTTGCTGGAAAGAGAGATTTGATGATAGATTCGGAATCAGCTTTGAAAAAGAGTGAAGTTTGGGCAAGGAATTTCTTAAAAAGCTTAAGAATTGAAAAAGGTAATCTATCTCCTAAATCTCCAAGTCTTTTGGAAGAGAAGAGAAAAAGGAGTTTTGATCCAAAAAGTGCGTTTT